TCCCCACCGGCTGAGGGCCCCCTCCCCTCCCCTCCCCTCGTGTATTTCCCTCGTCCTCGAGCAGCCTCTTCGCAGCCGCTTACGGGCGGCCCGCCTGCCTTTCGCCAGAAAATGTCTGAAACAGGTAACCCCAATTGCATCCGGTTGTCGCCAACCTAACACGTGGTTTCTCATCCTTTTGACAGCAGCGCCTTAAGATTGCGGCTATCTCGTCCTGCCTTAATCAGCTCTTGAGTTACTTACATTTTAAGACGTTTCATCTCTTTCCTGTCTTCACTGCCTCTTGTTATCTTTCTTCTGTCCCTTCCTTCTCACAGCTATCCATCATTTTAATCTGTTGCAGTTTCTTAGTTGTTCCTTCAGTAGTTCTGCACCTGTTTAATTAAAGTCTTGTCATGGGAGCTCTAATTTTTGTCCAGCCAGGTGGCAACATCTAGATGATCTTGGGTAATCTGCTCCTGGCAATTGTTCATTGGACTACTAATTAATACATTTTGTTATTCTGGCCTCATTAGCCCTCTCCTGTCCAAGAGGAAGCAGAAGAGGGTTAATTAGTTACCCTGGAGAATGTTGACTTGTTTACAATAAGAGAAGGTTGTTCAGAGATCCGTAATGAGTGTGCAGCTTCTCCATACACATGACTTCATAACAGAAACTTTATGGAGTCAGAAGGAATCCAGAGAAGGTTTTCATCTCCTTTTCCTCTGTAAGGCTACTGTGCAACAGTTGGCGAAACTTTAAAAAAATTTTTTTTAATTGTTTAATTGTGCAAGAAGACATTATTCAAGGAGAAGGGACTAGAGAATTACACTTTCTTGAAGAAATAATAGGACTTTCATAGTCTTGAAACTCAGATGCTACTAAGTTTTTATAATTGCATCAGTAAGCAGAGGCAGGTGTTGGTGAGTTTAGAAGCTGATAGTAATAATTAAAACATTTAAATCAGTTTTGGAAATAATAACATAATTTTCAGTAAGCTAAGTACAGCTTAATAATGTATGAGGTGTTATGGATCTCTGAAGTAAACAATTTAATAGGATGTTCTATTAGATGTAATAGTTCAATAAACAAACTCAAAGCACATCTCATTCATAGGAGGGCATTTGATTATCACTGCAATTCAGTGGAGAAGTTGGTAGAAGTTTCAGATAGGAGTTAGCAACTAGCTGGAAAGCCTAGCAATAATTCCATTTAATTCTAGTAAATTCAAGAAATTGCTTACAATGCTACCTATTCACTGGTAGCTAATAACTAGTGCAAGTTTTTATTTGATGATCAGAAGCAACACGGTCCTAAGTCCCTATTCACTTAATATTCAGAAAGGCCCATTCATTTACTATGAAATGCAATAGACGCATAACTTTTTTTCTAATTTGTTGCAGGCCATCCAGGAGTGTCAAGGTACTGCTTGTGTCATAGGCATGCTACATTTTTCTCTACGCACAATTTATCACTGAGAAAGAAGTAGTTTTCTTCTTAGGTTGCACATTAGTAGCAATTGTGAATGCTGTGTGAAATGTGCTGCCATTTCATCCTTTTCCTCGTGTGTGTACATATTCTGACATTCTACATTTTTAAATCCTTGTATATTTGTTGTATTATTCAATGCAAGGGTATTTAAAAGACGTTAGGAAGTCTCAGGAAGACTTTCTAAAAATGGACAGTTTTCTTGAGTGTAGTTAAACATTGCATATCTCAACTATTTTACCAAAGTCAGTAGAGTTACTTTGTATAAATTAAATTTACATGTATAAATGTGCAATATTCACTTCATTTTGCATATTCTTTTTAATTTTACATACTTTTTATTTTTGGAAAGTCTCTTTATTCTTATGACGTGACAAATAAAAATTCTAATTTGTATATGTTAATCTGAGACCTGCAGAAACAGGGTATTTTCCCCCCAGAAAGCTTGCTTCATAATTCTGAATTCTATACGTTTTATTATGTTTTTGTCACTGCTATGAAAAATAATTTCTATCATTATTAGTCCTGCTTTGTAGAGGTTTCTTGGTGCCATCATATGGGAAACTAATATAACTTAGTAATAGGAAAAAAAATGAATTCATCCGGATTGGATGTTACTTATATATTCATCAGAGTATTTTCTCTAGTCTGCAAGTAATCTATGCTTGAGTGATAAATCAAAAAAGAAAGGAGGGAAAAAGTCATTTTTTGAATAATATATGTCAATAAAGCTTTCTTAATGTTAGTACAGGGTGCCAGGTAATAAAATATGGTACCTCGATTCCTCAATTACGGGATCAACTTTGGGGAGACCTAGTGATCAGGTACTGCACAAGGATATTGTAAAAATGAAGTTTGGATCACGTATCCTCATGTGATTAAAATGAGGATAGGATTAAAAGTTCCTCATAGGATTAAAAATGCATTAAATAAAAATAATATATTGGATACAAAGATCTTTCATAGGATATATGTGCTCTTATATCTTTGGCTACATGTTATTTTTGCCATATAAGAAGTAGTCACAGATAGTCATCAGCCTCTGTTAAGAACACCTCAACAGAAGCAAGGCAATTTATGTTTATGTAAATCAGTCTTGTTTTGTTGTTGTTTTGTTTTGAAATTGAAATTTTCTGTGTTGTTTCACATGCTGATTTGAATTTTTATCAAATTTTAAAACTGCTTACATTTTGATGAAGGGGGAGGGAGAGAGCACATCTGTTATAAGAGAGTGAAAAAGCACACCTCAATGTGAAACTTAGATGGCTAATGTGCCATTTACAATAGTTTTATGTAACTTTTCACCTCTGTTGCAGGTAGAACTTCATGTCCACTTGGATGGAGCCATTAAAGCAGAAACTATTCTATACTTTGGCAAGTAAGTGAATAACTTTGGGTCCTCTTTTTCAAAAAAAAAAAAAATGTCATTGATATTTTGCCATTGGTACCATATCATTAATCAGTGTTGTTTGCAGACTGTTTCTCAATTATTCTGTTTATGTTTAGAAAGTTAAACATTTTGACTTTTGATCCCACTTATGTAATTTTGTTGATTCATAAATTTAGAAATAAAAATTCCACATAGCTATTCTAGAACAAGCAGTAGATTTTGTTTCAGGAAGTAAATTAATGGTGCAGTCATATCCACATTTACTCAACTGTACACCCGTGCTTGAAAGTGGGTAACACAATTGTAACATCATGGTTCCCACTGTATGAATCATCCCTTCTATCACTTTCTCAGTCTTGATTCCCAGTAAGAAAGATGGAAAAATCTGAAAGTCAGGAAAGGGAAGGGCACAAAAACTTGGGACTTGACCCTTCCACCATATCTGACTGTTCTAAAATTTCTGAATATGAAAATCTGTTTAAAAGCTAGAAGACATTTGTGAATAAAACAGACTGTATGACAAAATTATGGCAAAATGCTAGGAAGATGGAAAACAGTGAGAACAAGGCTCATATTTCAATAGGACCTGTTGCATAACAACATAACTTCAGTAACTAAAAAGTTACCATTCCAATGGAAATCGATGCTGTTGTCTAAGGCTACTGGGTTAGAAATTCCTGTTTGTGAGTTAATAGCAAGATGCTTTTGTTTACTAAGGGACTGGTTTCCATGACAAAGGAAATGGGACAATAGAATTAGAAGTAAGAGTCAGGAAGCATCTGACATGCACAAATATAGTTTATCAGCAACTTTATACCAAGGAAGGAAATAAGTACTTTATTGGATGTTTAAGGTTAGAAGTTAGCTGGGGATATGGTAAACTTTAGTATATATCAGTTATCCAGGGTTATCTGACTACTAGGTTTCTTTATCAGCACATGCACACACAAAAGAAATGAATCTGTTCAAAACTAATCCAAAATAAATTTCAGCAGTTGATATAGACACCTTTTTTTAAATTCTAGGAAAAGAGGAATACGTCTCCCTGCGGATACTGGAGAAGGCCTTCTACAACATATTAGTTATAATATGCCGCTCAGTCTCACTGGCTTTCTTTCAAAGTTTGCTTTATACATGCCAGCGATTGCGTAAGTGAAATAATTTGTTCCAATTTACTGATTGTGAAATCTTCTTTTCAGTATCTTAGAACTGCTATTAATTCATTTTGCCAGCTCAGCAATCTGTTATGTCATGCTTATCATTTTTTATTACCTGCCTGTTATTCATGTGTGCTTGTGGGTGTGTTATGCATTTCTATTAATGCATTCTCTGTCTCTGTCTCTCTCACACACACACCACACTAATTTGTAAGGCTACTTAAAGATCAATGCCATTATTCCAACTGAGAGAGTATCACTCTAACATACACAACTTACTGGTAAATGGTAACCCTCTATGCTTACCAATCACTCAGTAAGCAGAACAGTTTCTAAGGGCATGTGAAAATTATCCCGTTCTTGAAGCCATGTGAGAACTTCTAGAACTGCCATTACAAGAGATTTACTGAGATTAGCACAATGTGCAGACAGCACAACTTGTTCTGATCTTGAGATGTGTGGAATCTTAATAAAAATTGCATGCCTGCTCCTTACAGAGTTTCTTGCTTTAATGTATATAATGTCCTAATTTTATCACTAGAGAAATATCCTCATGTAAACAAAATGTCTGCAATTTTAGGTTTGGGATTAATTGAATTTTGGTCCATAATTGGCTATTTTCAGGGTTCCAGGATGAAGGTAGTCTACTTTTTTTTACATCACAGACTATTGGTAATCCTTGGTAACTGGAATATTAGAGGTTGTAATTGGATAACAAGTTGGAATTGTTCTATTATACTTACCTGCATTGTTATGAAGCCTACCATAGAGATCACCAATGTGAAAAGTTTGTCTTACATGGCATTTTTATCTCTGTTATATTGCTATAGGAAAGTGGGTGAATATTGTCTTTCAACTTTGAACCAAACTGGGGGGGGGGTGTTTGAAATTAAGGAGGATTGGAGTCACTGATTCACAGCTGTCAGTATACATCCAGTGATAGCAATTCCATTGGAGTGACAGTGGAATACTGCTATCACTTCTAGATGGACTGTGTTCCAATGTGGGCAGTGAATTTTCACTAAGTTGAGTTCTTGACTTAAGTCCACATACGTATAGATTCATATAACAGGTATGCTAGTATAGCAGATTGAACCTTGACCCCAAAGTGCATATTGTAGCATTTTATTCTTGCTAGAAGATATAATTACAAAAATGGATAACAAACAGAAAAATATACCTGGCATTTATATAGAGCAGGAATAGCAATCTGGTATCCTCCAGATATTTGGACTTTTGTCTCCACAATCTTTATCTTTGATCAGGCTGGCTGGGGTTGATGGATTTAGTCCAAAAATCAGTTGAAAGCACCTTCTTGCCTGATAGGCAGCGTTTCAGATTTTAGAGTGCTCCCCGTACTTACTCAGATATACATTTCTGTTGGAGGGGAAGTTGTGAGGATATGCAGTTTTTATTGAATAAATTAATTCAGTAAAGACTGTACATTTTTGCATTTTCTATCTGAAGCTTCCATGGCATTTGAATCCTTCTGTGCTCTTTGTAATTTGTAATTATTTCTTAATGTTGAATTTAGCATTCCTAGGCTACACTATAAAGGTTAAGACAATCTTTGTAGGAGGGAGGGTTAAAGAAGAAAACCCAGGATACAAAGGCAGTCTATGTTAAATTAATTCATTCACAGATCAAGAGCAAAATGAAGGACTGGCAAGACTCGTGGGTAGGAAAAATAACATTTTGATAAAAGCTAGTCTGTCTGTATTGAATCAAATTAGATAGAACACCAGACAATGTCTTTTGGGTTGCATTTATCAGTTTTGCCTCAATATAGACTTGTATCATGATTTTCAGCTAATTATAGTCTGTTTCATCGGTATGGGGCAGGTGTTTGCTGAAACCTAGGTTTTGATCCTAGTTTACAATAGACAAACTAAGCCTTTTTGAGCACCTAGATCTAAGATGAGAAACTGAGGGGAGAAAGGATACGAAAGAGGAAATACGTGACTCTGAATCTCATACGAACAGCTCAAAGCTATGTATTTTGTTACATTTGTACTCATACAAGCACTGGGTACAAATGCTAATAATGAACTAGATGAGCCAGAATATTTAAAAACTGGGACGAACGAGTGGCATATTTCTTTGGAGGCCATAAACCTCTTGGCATTCCGTTAGTTGCTTGGTTTTGTACTGACATTGTTGGCTCATATTTTTTTTTTCCAATTTAAAACAGTCTCATAGGTTATAGACACCGTTCTTAGAATTTAAGCAATCGTGAGTGACAGATGTTGATGAACAGTAGAAGTACATTGGCAAGTACAAAAAGTGCTGGTTCCAGATCAGAACTGATGCAGGGACCATATCCAGTAATTCCTGTTTATACGTTCATATGTTGCTCTTTTGCACAGCTAGAGCTAAAAGTACTTTTCCCTAATCCTATCTACAGATGACCTCTGCATATGTTAGAGTAAAATTATTTGACTTGAATGCAAAAAGGACTGGAAAAAATCCATGTTTTAGCTAACTGGAAATGTAAATATTCTGAACTTCCCCTTTAACAGAATCTACTTAGTTCAAGTTCAAATAAGGAAAGTATTTTCCATGCATTTTTTTGATAAATATAGCCTATTGCATCACATTGTAGGGATTGGATCTGAATCAAAATGTGCTTGATATTTTTGTATGATCTTTTTTATATGCTACCAAACTTTTTTGAACAGCCAGAATATGTGTGTGTGTGTGTGTGTGTATGTATGTATGTATGTATGTTGGGGACAGATCAGAGTTGTAAACAGTATGTTGCTAGAGCTTAGAACTTTGTCTCCTGGAATCACTTACTCTTATGGGTCTGCAGATCCATGTGTTACAGACTCTGAATTAGCCAAAACTATTTTTTTAAAAAAGCTTTTATATTTGCAGAGGTGACCGAGAAGCTGTGGAAAGAATTGCTTATGAGTTTGTGGAAATGAAAGCAAAGGAGGGAATTATCTATGTTGAAGTGAGGTACAGCCCTCATCTCTTTGCCAATTGTGGAGTATATCCTATCCCATGGAACCAAAAAAAGTGAGTAATTTTTTAAATGTATAAGACAGTGCTTCTTTGTCTTGGCAACTTCCTAATGTACTTCACCTCCCAGACTTCCCCAGCTAGCATGGCAATTGCTGAGAAATCTGGGAGTTGAGGCCCACACCCCTGGAAACACAAGTAAAAAGGTATAAATTATAGTATTCTAAGAGGAATGATTATTGGATGGCAGTAGATATACAGTTTTGGGACTAATGGCATATCTGTATTAAGTGCACATGCAATAGTGATGTTGTAATGACTCTGCATATATTTTAATTGTTCATACCATACAAGAGATCAGTGTAGTATACATTACTTTGCTCACTAAAAAGGTGGACATTTCTTTACTATTTTCTTCTTCTTTATTATTATTATTTTATTTAAATGCTCTTCCACTTCTTGAAAGAGCTTAAAACTGAGGCTCTGATTAACGATTTGCATAGATTATTTGTTTTATCATTTTGTAGAGAATGACAAATAAAAAATACACAATGCAACTAAGATTAAGCATTTTATGCTCCAATCTTGTGAACATCTTTTAAAGTGTAAAACCTACTGAATATAGTTCCATGTAACCATGCATGATATTGTGTTGTTAATATCTTATTAATATCACTATGAGGTGTTTTGTTGCTTCACTGTCCAGCTGAAACCAGAGGCACTCTAAAGACTTTAACTGGTTCATGCGTGAGTTAAAGTACAAGTAGTCCCTGGGTTAAGAACGTCTGATATAAGGACAACCCATTGTTAAGAACAGAGCCTATTGTAGCAAAATTCAGGTTAAATACACAACGGTTTTTGAGTTTATTATGCAATACTACTTATACAGTATTATGCAATAATATTGTTCCAGCTTAAATATAAATTCAAGTTAAGGACAGACCGTAGGAACGGAACTTGTTCTTAAACTGGGGACCACCTGTATCTCGCTTTGTGGGATCATTGTTACAAGCAATTCTGTTGGAGCTCTAACTGCACTTTAAATTGAGCATTTCAAAATAAAGCAGACTAGTAATTAATGAAGAAATAAAGATAGCCAATTATCTATTTGTAGTTGTCCAGGTTAGATTATCTTCATTTTAAAGATTTCTTCAGATAATTTATTTGGGTTTATACCTGCACTGTGCAATTGGTGCAATCTAATCTTGAGGGTAAACATCCAGTATAGAAGCTCTGAAGCCATCAAAAGCACAAAATAATAATTTCAATGTGTATCCCAGTAATTGTCAGTTACCTTGGTTTATTATTGTTTATTTTATTTAAATGCTCTTCCACTCCTTGAAAGAGCTTAAAATAGTATTCAAAACAAAAATACAGCAATTAAAAATATACAGTGTCAAGCTAAAAGATAAATATAATCATCATAAAATCTTACAATTCAACTGTGTAAGTTCTACTTATAGTCCAGCAGCTGGGCAGGCTGCCCATCCTGACAGTGTAAGTTTTGCAGCCCCAAGAACATTTCCAGATTATGTTGCTGAAATTTGGAGGTGAAAACCCTGATATTTAGTTGTGTGCCTTTTTTTTTTTTTGCTTCAGGGGGTCCAAATAAGTGTGTCAAGTCTCCCTGATAGTTAGTGTATCTATATTGAACTTTTAAAACCGCCAAGCCAAACACACACAAGATTTTCAACTCTCCACACCATGGTTTTTACAGTTCCCCCCACCTGCAAAAAACTTTAAAGAAGTAGGACCTGATGGAAAAAATTGCCCTCCCTGCACTCATCCAATCAAGGCAATATGTTACAGGATTGCAGCCTAGTGTCAGTTTCTGAATATAAAATCTAACATTTTTATATTTAAAGAACACGTAGAATACATTGAGGTTTCTCTTTTGGGATGTAGGGCTGCTATCTTTTAACAACCCTGCCCTATTTTTACATATCTTTTCTACAGTTACTCTGAAGAATATATCCATCTTAGTGGTATTTCTTGATCTGAATATTGCATTCATTTTGTCAGAGAGAAGCAGTTGTAGAAGTCTGGCAGTAATTAGCCTTTGCTCAAGAAAGGGACCAAAGGTTAAAGCAAAAGCATTATCCACTATCTACCCCGAACTCTTCTTTTAAAAATATGAGTTAATTTTGGCTGTTACACATAGTAGGTTGACCCCCCTGGAGACCGTTAACACACTTAATTTGTTTAGATGGAATTGAAGCATTATTTGACAACTTACTGTGAATTTATATTTCAAACCAGCTTTGTAGGAGAACTTCATGAAGAGCTGAAGAAGTCTAGAAGATTTACTTCTTCCTGTTGGCTGTAAATTCCTGCCAGGGTTAGCCTGGCATGCTATATTTTCATACTAATTAGCTTACCTGGAGAAGCAGTGAGTGCTGTCTCCAAGTAGAAAAGAAACTATTTACCCTATAATAAGAAAGCTTAAATAAACCTTCAATTCCATAGTTATGAAAAAAGCAATTTAGTAAATACAAAAAATTGTATTTACTAAATACAATCAATAAACAAGAGGATGGTATCAATAAACAAGAGGATGGTAAAATAAATTTGACCCTGGAACGATTGGCAATGATGTTATGAACCATTCTTTATCTCTTCCTTCTGTGTTGGACAGTGGTGATGGGAACAATGAATATTCTAATAATCTAATAATTAAATTACCACATTAATCCAATTAATAATAATTAATATTTTCTTATATATTAATATGTTAATAAACAATTTCTTGAGAATTAATGGTCTAATATATAATATACTGATTATTTCTTTCACACAGGGGAGATCTTACTCCAGATGAAGTGGTTAGCCTTGTTAATCGAGGATTAAAAGCTGGAGAAAAGGCTTTCAACATCAAAGCCAGGTCTATTCTATGCTGCATGCGCAACATGCCAAGTAATGTATAACAGCTTACTGGTGGTTCTGCTCTCTGTGTTTTCCTCCCTATCCTCCTGCCTCCACACATTGACTCTTCAGATTTAAATCCTGTAATTTGTCAAAGAATAATTACTTATCCCAAGTTGAGATAAAAGCAAGATTTGATAATGCAATATCCAAACTTGAAAAAAATGGCTAATCATACTCGCATAAAAGATGTGCTTAATGTTTTGGACTGTGTAAATCCTTCAGGAGAGATATATGCAATATGTGGTTTCAAATCATTTAAGAAGTCAGGTCTTTTTACAGACTCCCATGGCTGCTTTGGAAGCTGCTCATGGGTGTTCCCACATTAGAGGTATACATGATGGTAAAGTGTTTCATGCATAAAACAAACATATGGCTCTGATACCAATAGAAGAGAATATATGTAGCTGAGGATTGAACTATGGAGTCCTTGGTGCTGAGTTTGGTTGTTTGACTGCAGACGTTTCATTACCCGACTAGGTAACATCGTTAGTGCTTGTGAGTGTGGGGTTTGTTCCCTGTTTATATACAGTAGCTTGTCCTGCCAGTGTTGGTGGGGGTGTGGTTTTTTCCTTGATAGTTCCTTGATTAGGGTATGCAACAGAAAACAATACCCTAATCAAGGAAACCAAGGAAATTCTGCAATAGAAGAATTTCCCACACTCACAAACACTGATGATGTTACCTAGTTGGGTAATGAAATGTCTGCAATCAAACAACCAAGCTCAGAACACCAAGGACTCCATATGGCTCTGAACTGAATCAAGAAGCACCTTAGTTGTTCCAGGTTTCAGTGGGATCTTATAGGATGAATAGGGCAAGACTGTTGTGCTTCTTCTCTCTCATCCTCCATGTGCCTGTGCGTTGGTCCACCCACTGATCTTTACAGCACTTTTCCCCTACCTCCCTTTAGTTATAATGCTATGCTAGATGAACTAAGCCAATGATAAAGTAGTTTACTCACCACCACCACCCTTCAATTCAAGCACAGCATATCCAGTTAGCCAACCTACCCCCCTTCCCAATTTAGATCTTAGTCACAGTGGCTAAGGGGAAGTGGTGAAAGAAAGGCACTGGGTAGGGCAGTGGCAGCTGTAATATATCCAGCTGGTCCACTGACTCTCCCCTGATTTTCCCAGTATTTCCTTTCTCTTCCTCCACAACACTGCCAGTGACCTTGCCTTTTCCCCACACCCCTACCCTAAAGCACTTCTGCTGAAACACAGGGGTTTGGGGGCCTTGCCTGAACAAAAGGCATGTGTTGTGGACTGGCATGGATCACCTGAAGCTAGTTATGGAGTATGTTGCATATCCTTACAGCAGCCAGTTCCAAGCAGCCCATGGTTAGGCTGTTACAGCCATATTTTGTCAAGTCAGAGATCTGAGCAGGGCCCAGAGGTACAGAAGAGAACAGAAAAGGGTTACTACAGTTTACTTAGTGCTTCTCTGTAGTACTGGGCTATTTTTTAAGGAGCTTGATATCAAACTGATCATGCTAATTGATAAATTAGCTGTGCCCCTACAACTCTCTTCAATATGTCCAGTCATTGCAACGATAACCCTGCTGGATGCTGCTACACCAACCTTTCAGAATTAGTCTTTTAATCTGAAAGTGCCTTTTGCACACAGCTTTATTTCTATATACGTTATGTGCTAATTACATCCATGTAGAAAATATCACATAGGATGTACTGAGAATTGCCAGGACAGGATGCAATGTGTTGATTTGGAGGTAGAAATTCAGATTTTTCTTGCTTGTAGAGGTGGACGTTTCAGTGATTGATTAGTTGAATAATTTTTATGAGCCAACTCTTATTTCTTAGAGTCAAGGGAATCTCCAGATTATGTTCATACATTTTCTTATCTGACTATTGCTATAACTCCCATATGTGCTCCAGTTATTCAGAACTGCAATTGAGCAATATGTCTAGTGAATTAAGCAATGTATCTAGTGAACTCCAATTCAAATAATTATTTCTCTAGTAGTAATGTGTTCTTTTTAATACAGATTTGCATTTGTACAGTAAGCCACTATCAGTTAATCTTATACTCTTTCATAAAAGGCCTATAGTTTATATTGGCCACATTACTCTGTGAAGCATATTTTTTTCTTTTATAATTAACCATCATGTGAACTGCTCTGTTAATTTGTTGGCTTCTGTTTCAGAGTACAGTATTGGTGAAATAATTTTTGTCTGAAGATTGAATAATGTGAAAAAAGATAAATTTGTTATTTTAAAAACTATATATAAAACATCTTCATATATGAATAGCCTTTCAGTAGAGGAAAAGTTTAGTTTTGACAACAGTGCATGTTTGGATACATAGACTGTTTGTAATTGATAGAATACCTTTTTGACTCTATCCTATATGAACCAAGCTTGTATAGCATGCAAAAAAGTGTTCCACAATTTTGAATCTGGGTTTTCTTGGTTTTTATTGTGTGCTTTCTTTGAAAAATTACTAGCGAGAAATTCTAGGAAGTAGTAAAATAGCAACCAAATGAATGGCTTAAATTTGTTTTATATAACTAATGTTACTGCAAAGCAACATTTATTCTCTGTTGGGTTATCTTGATTCTCCCAACCATAGAGACTGTATGGATTGTGGCAGCGTACAAATAAAATAAAAATAAATAACCTTCTAGCATGGGATAGGCAACCTGCAGTTTCAGGGCTGTAAGCAACCCTTGAGTCCCCTTTTTGTGACCTTCGGAGGCCCCTCTTACCATGTTTCCTGATGACTAATGGTGGGGAACATGGAAATTGTAGTTAAGCCCTTAAATAGGCACACTACAGTTAAACACCAACAAAAAAATAATCTCCCAACTTCCCTCAAAGTATACGGCCCACCTAAAAAGGTGCAACATGTTCCCACAAACAATATGGTCTTTTCCCTCACCAAAATGTGAACAGTGTTTTTCCCCACATCTGTAAGCATAGATGACTATTGAGGATAATATTTTATCTATTTGATAATTTTATGGCCCTAAAAGCATATGCTATAGAGGTAGTCCTCGCTTAATATCCACTCATTCAGTAATTGTTCAGAGTTACAGTGGTGCTGAATGAGAGGTACTTATAATGGGTCCTCATAGTTACGGCCATTACCGTGTCCCCGCAGTCACGTGATCTCAGTTTAGGTGCTCAGCAACTGGCTCTCAATTACAATGTCGCAGGTTTCTGCAGTCACGCAATTGCCATTTGCAGCTTTCACTGCCAGCTTCCTACAAGCAAAGTCAACGGGGAAGCTGGCAGGAGGTCGCAAATGGTGATCATGAGACTGTGGGATGCTATGACCTTGTGGGATTCACCTTAGAATGGCAGCTGGAACTGCCAGAACTGCCGTCATACGTCGGTGTGGTCATGTGACATCATGCTTTACAAGTGCGTCGCTTAGCAACAGAGTTTGTGGTCCTAATTACCTTCAGTAAGTGAGGACTGTCTGTGCTCATATTTTTAGAAGGCCTGCCATTGATCATGAAGGATAAGAAAGCTTGGTTTTGGTGCAAGGCAATCCTTTTACACTGTAACATGCTATAGTTTATGGAAAGTCCTCAAATCCTTCTAGAAGTTTCAATAATCATACTGAAGTGACAAAAAGTAACCAGAAATAAACGAATGTATTTTAAACATTGCAATTCTTTGTGGCTGTTCTGCTGTCTACAACATCTGCTTGATCTTCACAGAAGTCTTGTCAAAGGGAAAGTCAACAAAACAAAAGTATCACTTATGTGTAATCATTTTTGATTAATGATTACAAGTTTTATTTAAGCAAGACCTTGGGTTCTGCCAAAAAGAAAAAAAAAAATCAGTTTTGACCCTTATTTATGCTTTTCTTTCCAGGCTGGTCGCCAGAAGTAGTGGAACTGTGTAAGAAGTATCAGAATGATTCAGTAGTTGCTATAGACTTAGCTGGTGATGAATCAATAATTGCTGAGACTTGCCCAGAACATCGAAAAGCTTATGAGGTATGTTCAGTTTTATGAGAAAATCAGCCTAAGGTTCACTGCAAGGAGGTAGTTCATAACCAATCATGCTCTTATTTTTCAACAACATTTAATGTTCCCATGTCATATGTTCAGATCAAAATTTCTACTTCCCATGTGTAACACTAGAATACAATATCCACATTACAGCTACAAGCAAAGTTTCAGCCACAAATTGAAAGATCTCTGATTAAAATTCTGAGGAAAGGATTTATGTGGTTGATCCTCTGTTTTAGACTTCACTTACATAATCACTTATGCCTATTACTGGTATGTATTAGGACTGTCCTTGCTTTAAAAATGATTTGGAAGAACTCCTTTGGCTTTCACATGACTTTACTTCCTTCTGTTCCTTAAAACAGCCTGACTTTTGTCAAATTTCTGCTGAGCCTGAAAAAAGCTCTAGTGCTTTAGAGTCACATTATCTTTAATGAATGGATTTCTTTAACTGTTCCAAGTCTGCATAGCCATAGTATGTATATCATCAGTATGAACCTAGGACAAACCTAATCTATTGAACTGGGAGGGGTAGAGGTTTTTTATTCAAAACTACTTTCCCACATTTGGAGTAACCTACTTATTATTGGCCAGGCTCTTCTAGGAAACATTAAAGATTATTCAGGGTGAGACGGACATCCTTTCAAAAACATTTCCTTGACATAAACTGTTGTTTTTCTTTGGCCTTCATGGCATGCAATATCCCTCTCCTCTTGTTCATTTCTTGTAGAGAAAAGTTGAATCACATGTTATTTTTCACTTATTATAGTTTCCAAAAGTACTAAATAATAATATAATTCTTCTTTCTTTTCCATTCTAATGCGCTGATATTTTCTGCCATGAACTATCCAAAATTAGAATCTTGGAAGCTGGCTGTTGAACATATGATTGGCTTCATCCTCTGGCAAATCATTTCTGATAATTGTAAAGAAAAAAGATGGGAATATCTATCTTCTTTGAATTTGGGATCAGTATTTAAATACTCAGTCTCTAGCTGATGATTATTGCATAATTGATTGGGGTAAAAAGAATAGTAGAATACTGCTTGAATCTGAAGACAAAGTTTTGAAACATTTCCATTTAGTAATTGGGTGATTTAAAAATAAAAATAAAAATCAGACAGGACTATATATATAGTCAGGCTTATGTCATAAAAAGAGAAGGTTAATCTTTTGTCCTGCTGTATCTTAATTTGAAACAAGACAAAACCATACCTTTGAATATACTTTTCTGCTCAGTAACTGGAGTTATTATAGAGGAAAGACAAATTGATGAGAAAATTGGGAAATTCAAAAGAACTTAATGAGAAAACGTATCACTCTTACAATTCTTGTATTTATGCTGATTAACAGTTTTTTAAAAATGCTGTGATATGTTTTTGTTTAGACATTAACCCAATACAAGGCACTCTGCAAAACAATATACCTGATGAATTGTTTTGGCTGCAATTAAGACTCTTCCTGAAATTTTGGATTCTTCTTAATTCACATTCACTACCTCGGTCACACAATCACCTGTTCTCTGTTCATAAAGTATCAGTGCCTCCATCTCAGTGATCTCTGAGTTTGTTCAGGCAAGAAGTCAAAACATAGGAGAATTGGTTGGTAATAAGTATGGCATTCGTTTCCAATGAGAGAGATTCTATTCTCTTTCCTCTTTTTTTTCCCTAGGCCCCTCCTTTCCCTCTATTTGGACTTTTTAATTCACTTATTTTGTGTAACAAAAATAATTAAGTTCCCATAGTTGCTGCTATATTTCCTTCAGGAGAGAATCCTTGAGCAAGAATCTGTAATAGAAAAGATTGGGTTTAAGGAAAAGGAAACAATTTGGAAGGATTTTAAAAAGGAAAAAAAAACTTTGGAAAAATTATAAAAAGGAGAAACTTTAGAAGGATTTTAAGTTTTGATATGGTAGGAACGGTTGCTTAAAGCAGAGTGTGTAGGTTAGATTTTCAACAATAAAACTTAACCTAGAAGTAAGCTCTCTGTGCCTCATTTTAGAATTTTACTGTCCCATTCTGTGTATGTTTACTTGGAAAGAAGACCCCTTGAGATCAAATATTTTGAAATATGCAAGCATAGGCTTGCAAATAAAGCCCTGGGAAGGGTGGTGAGAAGAGGGATGGTTTGGAGTCTATATGAAAGGGAAGAGAGAGGAGGGTGGGTTTGTATTTGGGGTGAGAAAATGTGGACTGAAAAACCTAGACAAGGAGAAATGGAGGACAAATGGGTGGAAAAAGACTTGTATTGCATTCCCTATAGAGAGGCCAACTAATCTTTTTTCTACAGCTCAAGCTTTCTGTTGCTTTTCACAAAAAGGACACTTGCTATTAAAACCAAAACAAAATTCTGTGCCAAATATCATCATGTGACCTTGTGTAACCTATAATTTTATTGTTGGAACCAGTTGTTGTCTAATTAGGTAATGTCTCTGTTTCCTAATGTAAATAGATAATGTAAAGAGCAATATGTGAGTTTAAATTATTGAAGGTTTCAGTCTAAAGACTCTGAGTGCCCGTGGAGTAAATAATCCTCCAAATCATAAGCTGGGATAGTACTTTGGAGAGATGGTGTCTGCTTCATTTCAGAAAAGCTTCTGTAGAAACCATTCTACACAAGCTCTCTTGAGTGATGGTAAAATCTATATGATTTCAAATGGTTCATTATTTATTTGAACTGTTTCTATTTCATCCTTTTTTTTTTTTTTGGTCAGGAAAGGCTTCCAGGGTCATTTAGGATCCCTTTCCTTGTACTTATGACAGTAAAGCAATAATGGGTTTTGAGTCATAGAGAAGGGAAATAGAACTGTAATGGAATCTGAAGTTACAGATTTTCTTACCCATTTGCTTTCAAAAGAAACAATTCAAATTGCTGGTTTCCCAGCTGAGCTGAGGAAGAGATCCAGGTTCCTTTCTCTTCCCTTCCCACTCTTGGATGTGGAGAGCAGGGAAGAGACAAACCCAGTGACTATCCCAGAGTTTGTGTGTCTACTACAAAGTTGCCTGTGTTCATTAAGAAATTTAAATTGCACTAGTGAGTCATACTTAAGACCACGCAAATAGATACAGAATCAAGTTTTGATTTTTATTAATGTTTGTCTTGCTTTTACATGTAATTGAATTAAATACTTTTCCTCATTCTTAAGATTGTTCGGTTTGAATTAACCATAGTTCTCAATCATGTGCCAACAATCCCATGAGCCCATTATAATTTGTGAAAAAATGGCAGCTGTGTATTTTGCCTTATGTTCAACAATATCTTGAAGGATGCAATAATGCATCAGTCATGAGAGTGCAAACAAAATGTTTATATATCTTCCATTTTTCCTGGAAGAGACCTAGCTCATCATAACCTTTCTAGCCTATTGGTAACAGAGAAGCTCAGAAACATTGTGCCGGAAGATTGGAAAATGGCCATAGTAATTCAACTACAATTACTTAGGCTTCTGTGTATTAATAGCACAGTGATATAGTCTCTTAGTATATCATCTTAGTAAGCAATTGGTAATATTTGAACAGTGATCTTTCTTAGTATACAGTATGGACTTGCATGGCCTTTTATTAGTAATCTTATTCTTGGTATCTGCTTTTCAGTATATGTATATATAAGTATATGATTGTTTTCAAATTCACACATAAAATGTGTTACTATAATACGGAGGTAGGCAACTCACAGTCCTCCAGAGACATTCTTGCAGTCCCTTAAGCCCTCCAGGTTTGCATCATTATTAGGTAGAAAAATGTTGATTTTCAGTAGCATGATAATCTTGTTATGGTTTAAGCCTTAAAATAATTGATATCGTTAAGTATTTTTCCTGCACTTGTGGTTGCATGCTAGGTAATAGAATCCTTTATTTTTACTGAAAAATAAACTCTAATGTATTAGTGAAATTTATTTCAGATAATGATCAGTAGGTTTGCAGACCTAAATGTAAAAGTTTATATGTAAACCTTTGTATGTACACAGGGTATACCAAAAATCGGGCCCCATAGAAAATTTGTTATATAAATTACATTAAATGTTTGAATTTGTTGCCATTTTCTTTTAAACACTTCCTTGTTAGATGCATGATTAGAATATAGGAATGCATAGAACATTCCTATGTATAGGAACATTTTTTCTAAAAAAAATTAATTAATAAAACATAATGTGATTGGCCTGTGGAGCCTGATTCTTAGTACACCGTGTGTGTGTGTGTGTGTATGTGTTTCTAAAAAAAATTAATTAATAAAACATAATGTGATTGGCCTGTGGAGCCTGATTCTTAGTACACCGTGTGTGTGTGTGTGTGTATGTGTTTCTAAAAAAAATTAATTAATAAAACATAATGTGATTGGCCTGTGGAGCCTGATTCTTAGTACACCGTGTGTGTGTGTGTGTGTATGTGTGTGTATGAATGTGTATGTGGGTAACTCAGCTAAAAATGTCAACATCTTGAGCTTTGCATTCATTTTAATAATAACTTTTTACTCTTTAAGAGCAAAAACAATTCTAAGCAGGATTTATTTGTTTGGACAATTCCATGTTTACCACCAATGGGATATGAAGTAGCAGATACCTTCCTCAAAAATGTGTTGCCTTCTTCAGCAATTGCTAATTTCTATTTTCTGCTGCTCAGGAAGCTGAAAAATGTGGTATTCATCGGACAGTTCATGCCGGAGAGGTTGGAAAGCCCCAGGTCATCCAAGAGGTAAGAAATTGTTCCGTAGAACAATAAACTTGGATGTCATTTAGAAAGCTGTCATGTAGAACTAATGCAGAAAATTTTTAAAACATGTGAGTAATGCTTAGAAAAAAAAAAGTTTGTTTCCAGTTTATTTTAGAAGTAATTTAAATACTCCTTTGGTGATTTATATAACAGCAATAATTAAGATATTTTTGCAAAACTTTTGTCCTCCAATAAATTCAATCTTTGCCCCAGATTGTTTCTTAATCTTTAATCAGATAGTATCCCTTCATTCTCATATATTTCCTTTTCCTTCCATAATGCTAGTTTCTATTAAAATCCTTCTTTTATTTTTTTTAAATCAAATAATACATTCTGACTTTCTAGGGTCAGACTGCAAACAATGTAAGATATTTGCCACAAAATCTGCCATCATTTTGTGTTATACAAAAGTGTATTCAGTTGCAGAACACTATAGCTGAATTCTTTTCTGTCTAAATATGAATTAGAAAAGATCCAGCTGCACAAGACCACAAGCTATAAATGTCATACTGGCACAGACCAAAGGAGATCTCCACTCTACTACCTACAGTGTTGGACCTTTTCCTGAAATCAGTTAATGATTTCCCGTAGTTCTAAATTACTCAAGCTTTACTGTGCTTTCTCTTAAGTGGTTTATGTGATTTGAGGTTCTGGTCTGGAGTATAAACTCTGTGATTTGTTAATTCCCGCATAAGAGAAATTGAGGTTTGGTCAGAAAAAAATGAGTAGGGGAATCACAATAGAAGGAGGTAATGTGTAAATCCAAGGCACGATCATGTATTCCTGAACTATACTCACTTGAACTGCTATAAATGTATGTGCACTGTACTTGATTTTATCCCATTGTGCTAGATGGACATTAAATAATATGGACTAAATTAATTAGTACCATCTAACTTCGCTGCTTTAGGATTGATGTGCCAATTGTGTAAATGATCTAATCTGCAAATAGTCATTTCTTCATATTTTCTCCTTTATGTTGTTATAGGCAGTCAACATCCTTAAGGCAGAACGAATTGGCCATGGCTATCACATCTTTGATGATGAACAGCTTTACAAACAGTTGTTGAAACAAAATATACATTTTGAGGTAATGGAATATCTTCCAGGCTGCAAATCTCTTAACAACTTTAAAGACAAAGAAAAGTAGAAATACTGAGTCAGAACACTAATCAGTCTGCTTTTCTATGCTATTTTCCTGCCTTTCTGGGAAATGCTGGAGCTTGAATTGGGAACTTTTAAACTCAAATCTTGTGCTTTTCCCCTGAATTAGTATGAAATTTATGTTGCAGTACAAAATGCATATCATGAGTCTTCCTAAAAGAGGAATCTTCTAAGTCTGTAATGTTGAAATGATCCTCCTTTTTGATTGAAGTCAGTAATGTGGTTATGGTTGTGAACATTCTGACTGTAAAGCAAACTATTTTTAACTAGTATTTACAGATGCATGCAAAGGTTTAGGCACTCCCAGTCACATTAAATGTTTCAGTGAATCCCTAAGTGAACAGAAGCTAGTACAACCTCTACATGATACAACTTTGAACTCAATATCTTTCTATAAATTGGAATACTTACTATTCATTTTTGGTCATTCACAGATTCAAAATAAAAAAGCAAAAATGGCAAATGGAGAAATTTGGACATTATTCCATGTTGATTCACTGCTTTTTTTTAAAACTATAAAGTTTTTAATAAGGCTCCAAAAGGTGATTGATTTGTTAGGCCTGCAGTTAGCCGCATGAACACAATTGCACAGAAAGGATGTTGCATTTAATTCTTAATTCTACAGTATTATGTAGAGGTTGGGTCAGCTTCTGTTCATTTAGGGATCCATTGAAGCATACAACTTGACGGGGTGTCTAAACTTGTGAATGTAACTGTAGATTACAAGATATACACAATGCAAACCTGATTCTTAATTGTCATGATGTAAATCATAAATATACTGTCCTATGTGTAAACCTGACTGCTCAGCTTTTAAAGAAAGAAAAATCTGTACTGCTAAATTAAACAATATTAAAAAAAGAAAAACCTGTACTGCTAAATATTTCATGTCTTATTGTTTTGCTTTTGGAGACATCACTGAGTGGTATCAATCTCTAAATCTTGATACTGAGAGACAAATCCATATGCTAGAGTCGTCATAGCCATAACTAGAATGATAAGATGGTTGTCACATCCATACCATTGCATTTTAGAGACTGTAAATGAACTCTTTTGACAAACAAGATTTGGTTCTTGGTCTGTGTCTAAATGGACTCAAACCTTTGAAGTAACTATTCTTTATCTGGCTTTAATTAATCTCTTTACAACTGATAACAGTTCATTCTTAGTTAGATGGGTGTAGTTTGTTCAATAATTTTTCTATGAAGAGTCTGTAGAAATTGACTGGAGAGGTACACAGTAATAATCATACTGTGTGCATTTTTCAGTTCATGTGTACACTTTAAGTGGTTCAAGTGACTTCATAAGCACAATATTTCATGATAAACAAGAAATATGGATTATTAGGCCTACATGAATACAAATAGAATTACTCTCAGCTGTTGTGAGCTTGTTTCTGGAAAAAATTCTCTCTGATGTAGCATTTTCAATTTATTTTAATAAAATATTTATTCACATAAACAGAGATATTGAGTCTCTCTATTTTTTTTCTCTGCTTAAATATACAGCTCTGTCCTTGGTCTAGTTATCTCACTGGAGCATGTAAAACCACCTTCTGTAATCATCCCGTAATAAGGTAAGTTTTGTTGTTATTACTATAACTATTTCAGATAAATCATTCTACAGCTCACTTATAGTTTCTTTATATTACTCTTTGAATTTGAAATAAACTCTGTTACCAGATATTTTGAAAAGCTAGCAGCACCAGTTTAGGTCTGGGTAAATGTGTAGCAAGATACAATAGGATAGAACCCTTAGGAAAGCTGGCTGTACTGTATTTTTATCCATGGATGATAAATCACTTTTAACATTTTCATTTTTGTCTTTCCAGATTTATGAAGGATGGTGCAAATTATTCTTTGAACACCGATGATCCACTCATTTTCAACTCCACAATTGATACAGACTACAGAATAGCTCGGGACTCCATGAACTTTACAGAAGAGGAATTCAAGAGATTGGTAAGTTGGTCTGCATTTTCATACTGGTAATACTTTGCCCTTGCAGTAATGTACAGCTTGTTTGTGTTAAAGTAAAATCTTCCAAGTACGTTTAAATTACAAGTGTAGGCATGGTTAATCTTTTCAAAGTTTCAAGAAATGGTAATATGGGCAACGAACATGGTGGTTACATCAAGAGCTTTCTGTAGAGAACAGAAGGAACAATTTACTGTACTCTGGTTCTACGGGAATGCTAATATTTTTATTACCATTTAGATACATCCTGCAGGTAAATGGATTCTTACATAATTATAGGTCCAATGTGGGAAGATATTGCATAGTAAATGGCCATCTGTATATTCCATATGGATCTGCATGTTTTCACAAACTCTGTCATCTGAGAACTTTATATAAAAAAATCTAATATCTGTCTGGAATATATTTACTCCTAATCTGAAATATTTAGGAAACTGGAATCAATTAAAAAATTGATGCTAAGAAAATTATGAGAATAGTAGGCTCATTAACATGCTATTGTCTCTTTTTAATTTCACGACATAATATACTACATTGTGGTCATTGTCCCTATCTTTTTACTTGATAGATGGATTGGGATTTTTTTTTTTTTTTGCTTCCTCAAAATATTTTCATTGTTTTTCTGTTTTTCCATTTTGCTGACCATTCGGATTTTTGTTCCTTCAAAACAATAATATCTTATTTCTGCTAAATCTGTGCATATTCACAGACATTTTGTTTTGGTATATTGGATTATTTTTTCAGCAAGAAAATTATTTATACAGCGTCATCCATGGCTCTTTACAATGTACATGGCTTTCTACAATGGATGAAAGGCTAGGTTTGGTCCCAGTTAAACTGCATTCAAAATTAAAAGATGTAACTTGTTAACAGCTTACCTTACCTTACCTTTCATTTCATCATTTAACCCAATTTTCTGGGATGGCACAACACATTGAACTACAAACATACGGGTGGGTGTTGCACAACATGTTAGGCTAAAATGTGGTTGGGAAGTTTGTGGTTTAATAACCCATGTCAGCACTGTCACTGAGTGATTAGATTGCATTACTGCAGTCTTAGAGTGCTACACCAAATCATAGGACTTTCAAACTTTCTATTGTTTGGGGCTGCTGCCAGCGAATCTCCTAATTGCTTAAATGATCTCTGATAGCAGAAACAGAAGAACAAACAACACAGTTGGATAGACTGAAGAACCCTGTCAGTCTATAAAGTTTATACTAGGTTACTTATTTGTTTTGTCTCAATATAAAAGCAGTCAAATCTCCAGCATGTGGCCTTAATATATATAAATTTCTCTCAGTATTTGAGCAACTTCATGTGAGCTTTAAGTGGAAAAGGAGCACACATACAAACCCCATCTGCGACATCCTTGCATTAATTCCATTTTAGATTTTTGTGAAAAACACTTTCTTTTCGTTTTTAAAGTTAAAAGTATAACATTTAGAAGCAGTGTTGTCAACTATTCACTTAAAATAGCAGTACACTAAACATTAGTGGAATACAATATTTTCTGAATATAATCAGACGCACCTTTAATTTTATTCTTCCTTTTACAGAATATAAATGCAGCGAAGTCCAGCTTCTTGATAGAGAAAGAGAAAAAGGAGCTTCTGTACAAGCTATATGAAGCCTATGGGATGGTAAAAAGCAAAGAATTCTGATCTCTTCTGTGCTAGCTGGTGTGAACTTTTTTCTTGACCAATTTTATGCTTGTCCAAGATCTTTGTTTTGCTTCTTGGAAGACAATGTGCAAACCTTTTTTAATTATTATTACCTTATTATTATTATTACCTTATTATTAAGTATTATTACCTTGTTTACTCATATTATCCACAGGGCAGGGCATGTACCATAGATATACAAAACAGTATTCTTATAATGGTAGGTACTGTGTGTTTAATTTTAATTTTTTAAAGCTGGAATATAAGCTGCTCAGGCACCTAGAGGTTGGAATATATACATTTATTGTAATTACATTCATTTAAGTTCCAACTCTGGTACACCAATTTTACAGGCCATTTATTGTTTCAAAAGCTTACCAGAAGGTCAAATGAACTGTTTATATGCAACAGCAGACAAAGCCTATTTCAGACACTTTTTAAAATCATTTTTTAAAAACAATCTGCCTCACTAATTTATCTGCAAGTGGTGTTTTCTATGCACTCTTATATTACTGAAAGGAAGAAAGATCATAAATATTTATTACCACTGAATTTTTTTTTTAGAACATCACATTATACTCAAAAATCTTATAAAAACAAGCATGTTATCTTATTTAATTTGATTATCTATTGATTTTATTTCTGTACTTTATTTTTCTTACAGTAAATATCAATTCAGTTTTTTTTCAATTTCATTCATTTCTGTGGTGTCAAAATGTAAAAATAGAGTCTTTGATCCGGAGAAAATTGTGTGGGAGAAGTGCTTATAATACAAATTCAGCATTTGCCTTCTCAAAACCAGTCTTGCCTAAAATGTCTTATGCTGGAGATGTGCCATGGGAAAAACAGTATTTTAAGAAATGGTATTTCACAGAATTTCTATTCATTTTGGGATTTTATAGAAATGAAGATTTAAAGTTTGTATTCCCGCGTATTTACTGAGCCATTTGCCTTGTTCCTTACCTGCACTATACTGCTTAGTTTAACTGGGAATTATGTGACTAAACTATATAATACTGACATTTGTTTGTTTGTTTTTTATTCAGACCAACAGCAAGGTAACATTATCTAATGGTGCTCAGTTACCTTGTTTTAACTGTGGCAGCTGCTTAGTAGAGTGATACCCAAATAAATTAGACTAAACAGCTAGTACCAAACTGACTATTTTGCTGGATTTTGTTCCATAAAGAAATTTAAAAAATGGTTTAAATGTAAGTGCTTCAGTTTAACTGGACTATGAGTAAAGCTGTAACCAAATATCTTATATGTACTATAACGAAACAATTCTGTTTTGAGCAGGAAAATACAGTACCAAATGTAAGGCTAAATCATAGCAATACAAGGCAAGAATTCTCCTTCCCAAATAGATATGCTGGATGCCTTTAGTAATTGTAACTTTTTATTTTGCGTGTTTAATTTTTTTTTTAAAAAAGAAACAATCCATGAAGTTCCTATTTATCTGCTCAGGAACTTAGATCCAGGTTTTTATATTACAGTATGGATGTCTTGTACATTCAAGGATTAAGTTAGTATACCATGAAATTTGCCTCTTAGATCGATTCACACTTTTTGTTGCAGAACATCCCAAATATAAGGTCTAAGGGCTTGGATCTCAATTTAGTATTATGTGCAAATCATACTGTTGTATGTTTCTCTACCCTTGCAAGTAGCAGCAACATGAAGTTGGGGTGGGAAGTCATTGTGACATCAAGGCACGGTAATTTCTAATAATGAAGAGAGGGTGGTAGCTAAGCACTCAACTGCCATTTTCAGGAGCAGCTGCACATTTAGCATATTTCAGTTCAGAGACAAATCTGCCACT